ACATACATACATACACACATACATACATACACACATACACACGCACGCACGCACGCACGCAGGCATACATACACACATACACACGCACGCACGCACGCACGCAGGCATACATACATACATACACACGCATGCATGCATACATGCACGCATGCATGCATACATACATACATACATACATACATACATACATACATACATACATACATACATACATACATACATACATACATACATACATACATACATACATACATACATACATACATACATACATACATACATACATACATACATACATACATACATACATACATACATACATACATACATACATACATACATACATACATACATACATACATACATACATACATACATACATACATACATACATACATACATACATACATACATACATACATACATACATACATACATACATACATACATACATACATACATACATACATACATACATACATACTACTATACATACATACATACAACATACATACATACATACATACATACATACATACATACATACATACATACATACATACATACATACATACATACATACATACATACACACACACACACACACACATACATACATACATACATACATACATACACACACACGCACGCACGCACGCACGCACGCACGCACGCACGCACGCACGCACGCACGCACGCACGCACGCACGCACGCACGCACGCACGCACGCACGCACGCACGCACGCACGCACGCACGCACGCACGCACGCACGCACGCACATACACACACACACACACGCACGCACGCACGCACGCACGCACGCACGCACGCACGCAGGCAGGCATACATACATACATGCATGCATGCATGCATACATGCATACATGCATACATACATACATACATACATACATACATACATACATACATACATACATACATACATACATACATACATACATACATACATACATACATACATACATACATACATACATACATACATACATACATACATACATACATACATACATACATACATACATACATACATACATACATACATACATACATACATACATACATACATACATACATACATACATACATACATACACATACATACATACATACATACATACATACATACATACATACATACATACATACATACATACATACATACATACATACATACATACATACATACATACATACATACTACATACATACATACATACATACATACATACATACATACATACATACATACATACATACATACATACATACATACATACATACATACATACATACATACATACATACATACATACTACATACATACATACATACATACATACATACATACATACATACATACATACATACATACATACATACATACATACATACATACATACATACATACATATACATACATACATACATACATACTACATACATACATACATACATACATACATACATACATACATACATACATACATACATACATACATACATACATACATACATACATACATACATACATACATACATACATACATACATACATACATACATACATGCATGCATACATACATATATACATACATATAGAAAATTAAAAGTAATTAGAATGTATACATGATTAAATTGCATCGAATTGAAAATTCAAGAAGATATTTACAATTAAACCATGACTAAAATGAAAGAAATCAAAAATCAAATACAAGTGGAAAAATGATGATCGTTGGAGGAGAATGAGCCTAATTATCCCAAAATATCTTTCAAATAAAATCTCAATTCTCAATTTTGCCTCTAAAATTTTATATTCCCTCTAAATTTCCCAATTTCCCTTTAAATTCTCAAAATTTCCTATTTTCCCTCTAAATTCCCAAATAAAAAAAAATTACACAAAAATATTTATTTTAAAAAGTTTTCTCCCACCACTCACTTGAATAATATATATATATTAATATAAATTATAGTTTATAAACTATATACTTTTTAGTTTATAAGTTTATGCATATATAGTTTTACATATATAGTTTATATATAGTTCATATAAACATAATTTATATATATAACTTATAATAATTATATAGTTTATAATATAAATATAGTTTATATAAACTTATATTATATATATTATATTTTTTTCAATTTTTTAAATGAATGCAATTTACTATATTTTTCATTATTTCTTCATATTTTGTATTTATTTCGATTTAATCCTTTTTTGTTTTTTGATTTATTTCAATTCTAAGTCTTTCACTTTTATATGTATTCAATTTAGTCCTTAATTTATATTTACATCTTCATTGGCCCATTGTTAGTTGTTATTTATATTTTGTAACTGGCTCATAACTTTTAATGTGTTTAATTTAGTCATTTTTATATTAATTTAAACCTCACATTTTAAATTTATTTCGATTTAGTCCTTTACCTATGTGTGCTGTTTAATTTATATTTTAAAATTTTATTTTTAATTTTAAATTTCTTCAATTTTGTCATTAAATTTATATTTTTTACAAAATTGATCCATGAATATTTATTTTTCTCTTAATTTACTCGAAATCATATACAATTACAATTTGCAATTCAATAATCACGAAAGATGACAAAATAATTAATCCAAAAATAAAAATGATCCGACCTGAACTCAATCCGTATCTGGTAAACATCCGACCTGAATTTTATTTGTCAATGATGTGACCCGATCTGAACGAGATCCGACTGAAGTCCACCGAACCTGAATTAACCTGGTCTTTATCTGCTTCGGACCTGAACGGTTTTGACCTGAACTGACATCGATCCGAACTGAAAATGACCTGACCTGAACCCGATCTGGATATGGTGTCAAATCAACCCGAAAATAACCCGAACTGATTTGACCTAACTTGGACCCGATCTGGATTTGGTGTCAAATCAACCTGAGTTGACATGTATCCGATTTTACCCGACCTGCCAAGATCCGACTGAAACATGTCCGATTACCTGATTTTACAGCCTTATGCATTACCTGGAAGATGAGATTGCAGATTCGAAGAAATTACGAGAATGTCTAGAGAATCCGAAGAACATGTCGCGAACCAACCCAACAGAAACTTACGGCAAGTTGGTGCTTGAAGACAGCTGCTTTGGCCACCAAATTCGACCCTTCTTCTCATTTTTCAATCCATTAAATAACAAGCAACTTGTTAATTGTCTGCATGAAAGTTATGGATTTGATTATAATATAGATTTAGATATTTGGTTTTTTTTTAAAATAATATTAATGATAAATTTATCATTATGAATTAGTTTTAAAGGAAGTCGAAGGGTTATATGTTTGATTTGTGGATTTTTTTTCGATGAAACAAATATCAGATTCACGTTCAGGAGATTGAAAATGACTGAACTAGAAATTTTAGGGCCCAATGGTCATTGGTGGTTGACAATTAGCGACGACCGTATGTAAGGGATGTTGGTAAGACTCATGGGTTAAATTAGTATTTTATCTAATGTTTAAGGGTTAAATTGATATTTTATCTAATGTTTAGGATTTAAATTAATATTTTACACAAATTTTAAGCGTCAAATTAAAAATTCACCCCTTTTACCAATTATCAACGTATCACGTCACCAAACTAATAAAATTTATTGTACAAGTAATCAAAATGTTGTAAATCAAAAGCTTAATGATCGAATTATTGCTTTTTTTTAAATCAATGAACAAAAATGAAACGAAATTGACCATTTTAATAGTTTATCCTTGAACCCATTAACTCACATGAATGGTAAAGAGAATGTTGATTTCTTCGGGTCTCGAGTTCAAACATTTGTGTTTACAGAGTATGTGTGCGTTCATTTTCAATGGACTAAGAAAATTTTAAACATATATTATGTTATAATCACCCAAACTAATAGAAAAATAATAGTCTACCATAAAATATTGTTAGAATTGGTTTATTAAGTTACAAATTTAAATGAATTAAGGCATATAATATAATCTTTAATTGAGTATAGTTTGTTAGAGATTTCAAGTTGAGATAGATTAAGAATATATTTTTTTATGAAATTAAATATTAGACCTATTCAATCACGGATTAATTGGGATGTCTAAGGTACGACAGTCTAATATACGGTTAAGAAAATGTGTTATTGGAAATGTTAATATTTTTTAATATTTCTGGTAAAACGCTACCTAAAACTTTATTTTTTCTACAAAAAATGTTAATATTGGGCGTTACCTAAAATGTTATTTTTTTAACCGAAAATTAGGGTGCGAAATTAACATTTCCGGTATAAAAATAATGTTTTAGTTAGTGTTTTACCGAAAATATTAAAAAATATTAACATTTTCGGTAATCTTTTTTAATCGTATATTAAGCTGACGTACGATAGAACTACCATCATTGGTTTCTCTTATTAGCAAACCAAAATTGGAAAATTTACACTACTTGTTATTTTTTTATTCATTTTTTATTTAAAAAATTCCAAAAAGGACAAAGCCAACCAGAATTGAAAAACTATTCTAGTCCTCTCACTTTCATAATTGAAAAACTTTTCTAGTCCTCTCACTTTCATACTTTTAGTTTCTTTTTATTATATATGCTTGAAGTCTAAATTTCTATAAAAATAAAATATGTAAATATTAAGGACTAAATATTTTATTATATCAATTATTTAACTGATTTGAGTAAGAAAAATGTAATCTTTTTAATAGTCTAGTGACTGTGGGTGTAGTTTACCCAAAATAAAATAGCAATACTGTGTGCTTAACTGATACTAATGGCTAACCATTGAAAACTTTTATGTCGTCTTCTAAGGCCAAAGGGCCCACTTTTCTGCAACTATTAGTCTATTACAAGTGGGAGGAACACCCCACGTTCCGTAGGTGATGAAATGTGTATTATATATACCTATGGACACCGGCATTTCATCTTCTTCAAATCACTTCCAAACACTTTGCCTTTAGTTTCAATTCGAAGCAGTAACTTCATCTTCTTCAATGGCAGAATCAATTATTTATGACATCATCACCAAATTGAGCTCCCCTCTTGTGCAGCAACTTGGCTTGTGGTGGAATTTCAAAGACGACCTTGAGGACCTCGAAAGCATTGTGTCTGCAATCAAAACTGTGCTTCTTGACGCCGAAGAGCGATCTACAAGTAACATTCCTGTCAAGCACTTCCTTGAAAAGCTGAAAGATGCACTTTATGATGCCGATGACGTTTTGGATGATATCCATACTGAAGCTTTGAGGAAAGATCTGCTGAGTGGGAACAAGCTGACGAAAGAGGTACGCGTTTTCTTTTCAAGCTCAAACCAGGTTGCTTATGGTCTCAAAATGGGAAGTAAAATCAAGGCCATTAAGGCCAGTTTAAGTACCATTCAAAATCAGACCAAGTTGTTAAAATTAGTACCGCGTGAGTATCCTATGGAGGCGCCTTTCATGGCCAAAAGGAGGCAGCAGACGCACTCTTTTGTGCCTAAAGATAAAATAATAGGGAGGGACGATGATAAAGCAGCTCTTATGAAACTCTTGTTAGAGTTCGACAGTGAAGAGAATGTTCATATCATTCCAATTGTGGGGTTCGGAGGGTTAGGCAAGACTGCATTGGCACAGTTGGTCTATAATGATGAAATGGTTAAAAAGCACTTTGACTTGAGGATGTGGGTATGTGTCTCAGATGTTTTTGATGTGAAAACAATAGTTGCAAACATTATTAAATCTGTGACTAACCATGCACCCGATCAAAATCTCGAAATGGATCAACTGCAGAAACAACTTCGAGGTGAAATTAATAGGAGTAAATATTTGCTTGTTTTGGATGACATTTGGAACGAGGACAGGGAACGATGGGTTAGCTTAAAGAATTTACTGATAGGTGGGGATAAAGGAAGTAGGATAATAATAACTACTCGCTCTCACAAGGTAGCAAAGTTAACTAGTAAATGTCAACCCCATGTTCTTAAAGGCTTGTCTGAAGATGATTCTTGGTCGTTGTTCAAAGATATAGCATTTGAGCAAAGATCTGCAGACTTGACAAATTCAGGCTTTGTGGAGATAGTGTTAGGTATGGCTCATAAATATACCAGGGTTACGAATTATGTGGGTTGGGGGTGCGGGGGGCGCAGCCCCCGCGGTACGGTACAGGGTTAATTTTGTAATTATGTACCAGGGTTTTCTATTATAAATAGAGATGTAACCTAGACCTAAAATATTATTGAATAAAAATTCTAGCGCCGCCTAGGCACCGAGGACGTAAGCACATTGCCGAACCTCGTAAAATTCTCGTGTTCTTTCGTTTTCTTTACCCGTTTTCGTCAACAATTGGTATCAGATGTCAGGAGCAAAATTCGAAGTCGCGAAATTCGATGGTCAGGGTAACTTCGGATTATGGCAAACGAGGGTGAAGGATCTATTGGCGCAGCAAGGGATCTTGAAGGCTTTGCGACCTACAAAGCCGGCGTCGATGGATGAGGAAGATTGGGAAGAATTGCAGCAGCGAGCGGCAGGAACCATACGATTATGCTTGGCGGACGAGGTCATGTATCACGTCATGCATCTATCGTCTCCAGACGAAATTTGGAGGAAGTTGGAAAGTCAGTTTATGTCCAAATCCTTAACGACAAAACTGTATCTGAAGCAGCGGCTGTATGGGCTGAAGATGCAGGACGATCACGATTTGGCGCAACACGTGAATGTCTTCAATCAAATCGTTTCTGATCTGGCTCGGCTTGATGTAAAAATTGAGGATAAAGACAGAGCGATGATTTTGTTGTGTTCGTTGCCTTCCTCTTACGAACACATGGTGATTACTCTTACATATGGGAAAGAGACTATCAACGTCGAGGAGATTACTGCAGCATTGTTGGCTCACAACCAGCGGAAGCAGAATGCAGGGGAAAGCTCTCAAGCCGATAGCTTATATGTCAAGGGTAATCGAGATCGTGGACGGAAGCCAGAGAAGGCAGGGTCCGGGAAGCGGAATTCCAGATCCAAATCCAGGGATAAGAAGACGATTCACTGTTACAAGTGCAAGGAGGCGGGACATATGAAGCGAGACTGTCCGAAGTTGAAAAAGCAGACAGATGAGAAGCGTGATGGCTCATCCAAGTCTGTGAACGTGGTCGAGGATGATAATTCTGATTGCAGTGAGGGTGATATGCTTTCTATTTCAACGACACAATTGACGGATGCTTGGATTCTTGATTCTGGATGTTCTTATCACATCACGCCAAATAGGGAATGGTTTTCGGCATACAGGCCGGTTAATTCTGGTTCGGTTTATTTGGGTGATGATCGATGTTGCAATATTGTTGGTATTGGTGATGTCAGAATTAAGATGCACGATGGCTCCGTTCGGACGTTGAGTGGTGTTCGACATATCCCAGACTTGAAGAAGAATTTGATTTCCTTGGGCACTTTGCACAAGAATGGTTTTATCCCTAAGGCTGACGAGGATAGGGAAACCATTCGGATTGTTAAAGGAGCATTGACTGTGATGAAAGGCAAGATGACTGCAGGGAATATCTACAGATTGTTAGGGAGTACCGTTGCAGGTGGAGTTCACTCTGTTGAGTCCTGTGATACGACAAAATTGTGGCATATGCGCCTTGCTCATCTTAGTGAACGTGGTATGACAGAATTACACAAGAGAAACTTGTTGCATGGTGTCAAAAGCTGTAAGCTCGACTTTTGCAAGTATTGTGTTCTTGGTAAACAGACTAAAGTCCGTTTCAAGACTGCGAAGCACACAACTCAAGGGATTCTTGATTATGTGCATTCTGATGTATGGGGGCCTTCCACGACATCGTCTTTGGGTGGATCTAGGTACTATGTAACTTTTATTGATGATTTTTCACGGAAAGTTTGGGTGTATTTTTTGAAACAGAAATCTGAAGTTTTTGAGAAGTTCAAGCTGTGGAAAGCTGAGGTAGAAAACCAAACAGGACGAAAAATCAAGTGTTTGCGGTCTGACAATGGTACGGAGTACACAGATTCACAGTTCCTACAATTCTGTAAGGAGCATGGGATTCAGAGGCATTTTACAGTGCGCAAGACACCACAACAGAATGGTGTTGCAGAACGAATGAACAGGTCGTTGAATGAAAGAGCCAGATGTTTGCGTTTGAATGCGGGGCTTCCCAAACACTTCTGGGCTGAGGCTGTTAACATGGCGTGTTACCTTATCAACAGATCGCCAAGGGCATCGCTGGCTGGGAAAGTTGCAGAAGAGGTATGGACTGGTCATGATGTTAGTTTTGATAACTTACGGATTTTTGGTTGTCCTGCTTATGTGCATGTACCTGCTGATGAGATCCAAACTTGATGCAAAATCGAAGGAGTGCATTTTTCTGGGTTACAAGAAAGGTGTCAAAGGATTCAAGTTCTGGGATCCAGTTGCGAAGAAAGTTGTGATTAGTAGAGATGTCGTTTTTGATGAACAATCCATGTTGCAGCAGAAGCAAGACACGACAGTGGTGGATTTCGAGCAGTTTCCAGTTGAGAAATCAGAAACTTCTCAACCGACTTCTGGTGGTTCCACTACGGATGATTTGCAGGATTATAGTCTCGCCAGAGACAGGGTGAGACGGACGAATATAAAGCCTCCGAACAGATGGGTTTTGAAGACTTGGTATCTTTTGCACTTATTGTTAGCAGTGATGATCCGGTTACTTTCATGATGCCGTTACTAGTCAGGAAAACGACAAGTGGATGGCAGCCATGGTTGAGGAGATGGAGTCTTTGAATCACAATCGCACATGGGAGTTAGTTCCCCTTCCTGAGGGTAAGAAGCGATTGGTTGCAAATGGGTGTATAAGAAGAAACCAGTAGTAACAGAAAAAGAGGGGGAGAAGTTCAAGGCTCGTTTGGTAGCGAAGGGTTTTTCACAGCAGAAGGAGTTGATTATGATGAAATCTTTTCTCCTGTGGTCAGGCACACTTCAATCCGAGCAGTACTTGCATTGGTGGCTAGTTGGGATTTGCATTTAGAGCAGATGGATGTTAAAAACTGCTTTTTTGCATGGTGATTTAGAGGAGCAGATCTACATGCGGCAACCTGAAGGTTTCACTCAACCTGGAAACGAGCATTTAGTTTGCAGATTGAAGAAATCTTTGTACGGGTTGAAACAGTCTCCGAGACAGTGGTATAAACGGTTTGACTCCTATATGATCAAGATTGGCTACAACCGATGTGAGTATGATTGTTGTGTCTATGTTAAGAGCCTTGATGATGGTTCTTTTATTTTTCTATTACTGTATGTTGATGATATGCTGATTGCTGCGAAGAACATGGATGATGTTATCGGTTTGAAACTTTATTGAGTCAGGAATTTGATATGAAAGATTTAGGTGCTGCAAAGAAAATTCTTGGAATGGAAATTTGCAGGGACAGAGACTCAAGGAAACTGCTGCTATCTCAACGGGGTTATGTTGAGAAAATGCTAGAAAGGTTTGCGATGAGCAGCGCGAAACCAGTTAGCACTCCATTGGCGAATCACTTTAAGCTCTCATCAGAACAGTGCCCCAAGACAGATAAGGAAGCTGAAGATATGGCAAAGGTTCCGTATTCTAATGCTGTTGGCTGCTTGATGTATGCGATGGTATGTACTCGTCCTGATTTAGCTCATGCTGTTAGTCAAGTTTGTAAGTACATGTCTAAACCTGGTAAGCAACATTGGGAAGCAGTCAAGTGGATCTTTCGGTACTTAAAGGGTACTGTGGGACATGGAATTGTTTTTGGGAGTCAGCGGGATAATCCTTTGGTTGTAGGATATGTGGATTCAGACTATGCAGGTGACTTGGATAATAGAAGATCTACGACAGGGTATGTCTTTACTCTTGGTGGAGGGCCTATTTGTTGGAAGTCTACTGTTCAATCTATGTGGCTCTATCTACAACTGAAGCTGAGTACATGGCAGCGGCTGAAGCTGCAAAAGAAGCTTTATGGCTTACTGGTTTAGTGAAGGAGTTGGGTGTTCAACAAGGTGGAGTTCAGTTGCTTTGTGATAATCAAAGTGCTATTCACTTGGCTAAGAATCAGGTGTATCGTGCTAGAACTAAACATATTGATGTAAGGTTCCACAAGATCAGAGAGTTGGTTGCATCTGGAGAGGTTTTGTTTCAGAAGGTACATACTGATGAAAATGCCGCTGATATGTTCACTAAGCCAGTTACGACAGACAAGTTCAAGCATTGCTTGGACTTGTTGAATGTTTCGAGTTGTTAAAGAATCAAGGTAACCCAACCCACATTGAATTTTCCAAGAGGCAGGATATTCGCCAAGGTGGAGATTTGTTAGGTATGGCTCATAAATATACCAGGGTTACGAATTATGTGGGTTGGGGGTGCGGGGGCGCAGCCCCCGCGGTACGGTACAGGGTTAATTTTGTAATTATGTACCAGGGTTTTCTATTATAAATAGAGATGTAACCTAGACCTAAAATATTATTGAATAAAATTCTAGCGCCGCCTAGGCACCGAGGACGTAAGCACATTGCCGAACCTCGTAAAATTCTCGTGTTCTTTCGTTTTCTTTACCCGTTTTCGTCAACAGATAGGAAAGCAGATTTCAGAAATGTGTCGTGGAGTTCCTTTAGTCATAAAGACTATAGCTGGTACCTTATCTTTTATAGAAACCCAGAATGAGTGGCTTTCATTTAAAGATAATGAACTTGCTAGAATATCCCAAAAAGATGATGAAATTCTATCTACACTTAAGTTGAGTTATGATCATCTCCCATCTCATTTGAAGAATTGTTTTTCTTATTGTAGATTATACCCAAAAGATCATAAAATTGATGTGAAAACACTTGTTCAATTTTGGATTGCACAAGGCTTTGTAAACCAATCAACTTCGAGTCAACCACTTGAAGATATTGGGTTTGGGTATTTTAAAGGTCTAGTTGAAAGAAATCTTTTCAAGAGGTAGAAGAAGATGATTTCCGGGGAATGGTATGTAAAATGCATGATTTTATGCATGATCTAGCTGAATCAGTAGCGGGTAGAGAAGGCAGTCTTTTAAATTCAAATTCAAGTACAAGTGAACTTGATGAGAATTGTCGTCACTTATCTGTCGATTTTTCATTAATTCCTTTGCAAAAGGGAAAGAAGTTGCGAACTTTGTTGAAATTCTCGAACAAGAAAGTTGAAAATATGAGTGATGCGAGTTGGAATTGGATAGTTTCAGATTGTAGATGCTTGCGTGTGTTGGAATTGTGTGATTTAAATCTTTTTAGAATCCCAGGCTTCATTAAAAAGTTGAAACATTTGAGGTACCTTGATCTCTCTTGGAATCCCAATCTTTTTTTCATCCCCAAGAGCATTTGCAAGATGCAAAATCTGCAAGTGCTGAAAGTTGAGTTCTGTTACCGGCTTAAAAGATTGCCAAAGAAGATTGAAAAATTGGTGAATCTCACCCATCTTTCGTGTGCTGGTTGTTGGGGGTTAACTCATATGCCTAGTGGAATAGGGAAGCTGACATTGCTTCAGACATTAAGCTTGTTTGTTGTGGATAAAGACGGTGCCCATGGTGCAGCAGCAGCAGATCTAAGTGAATTGGGTGGCCTTAACAGCTTAAGGGGAGAGCTAATAATAAAAAACTTGGGATTCGTGACAAATGCAGGAGACAAGTTCAAAGCTGCAAATTTGAAAGAGAAGCAACATCTGCAATCATTGGTTTTAGAATGGAGAGGTGATATCAGTGATGATGGAAAAGAAGATGATGATGATGAAGAGAAGTCATTAATGGACCTCGAGCCCCATCCTAATCTGAAGAAGCTCCATTTGAGAGGATGGAGGGGCAATGCCAAGTTTCCAAGTTGGTTTTCTTTGCTCACAAATCTGGTGGATATTCGAATAAAGGGTCCAAGCAAATTTAAACATCTCCCTTCCTTTGCTCGATTGCCTCATCTTCAACGGCTAAAGATTTCCAAGTTGACTGAGCTGGAGTACATGGAAGATAATGGCCCTAGTGGAGGACAAGAAGATTCAGAATCATTCTTCCCGTCGCTTAAGCTTCTTCACCTCAAGGAATGCCCAAATATGAAGAGTTGGTGGAGGAACAGCCCGATCGATGATGATAAGGATGACGACAAGGATAGAACAGCATCAACCATGGCATTCCCTTGTCTTTCCAGTTTATGCATTAAAAATTGCCCTTTGAGTTCAATGCCTTTGTATCCATCAGTCGAGGATGAGCTGATCTTGGTGAATACCAGTTCAAGGCCATTAAAGCGTACCATTCGGATGAGCAGCACTGTTACGACGCCATCAAGTTCAACCTCTTTTGTTCCTTTCTCCAAATTGAAATCGTTCGAAGCGGAGAATATCGAAGAACTGGACCACGACATGCTAGATGAGTGCCTGAAAAATATGACTTCCCTTAAAAGGTGGGGTATTGGTTCTTGCAGTTGGCTCAAGTCATTATCTGGGTTGTTGCAACAGATGACCGGTCTCACAAGTTTAAAGATAAAAGATTGCAAGGAGCTTGATATAGAGGGCATGCAGTGGGAACCCCTTAAGAATCTCTCTGGTTTGGAGATCGATAATATTCCGCAGCTCGTGTCTCTCCCCCTTTGGCTTCAACATCTGGATCAACTGAAAACATTAGAAATCGAGAATTGCAATGGATTGAGGTCACTCTTTCCTGGCTTCCAACATCTCACTTCCCTCGAAAAGCTTCGAATAATCGACTGCAAGGAGCTGGAGTTTTCTTCAGATGGCATTCAAAAATTCGAAGATTATACGAGCCTAAGCCATATACGCCTGGAAAGTATTCCAAAGTGTCAGCATCTTCCGGAGTGGCTTCAATATGTGACAAATTTGAAAGAGCTTCATCTCAAATTTTTTCCCGGTTTAACATCATTTCCGGATGACCTGCGTTGCCTAACCAGTTTGGAACAGCTACATATGATACACATTTCCAAGTTGCCCGATTGGCATCAGATCGCTCACATTCCTCGCATTTGGGTGAATTATGTGAGTGCCCTCCTCTGCTTTCAATCATCCATCTATCCACTTTTACAACAACATATTGGGTTTTCTATTTTCAAGCTGTGAATACATCTATTGTTTACTATCTTCAGGTTCAGGTGCAATAGCTTCCGAAGCGCATTCGAGTACTTCAGTAATTTATATGCGGAAAAAAAGGAGGTAGTTTATCTAATTGCTTTATACTTTGAATTCATAATAATCTCAGAAGTAACTGCAATCATCTAATAATTAATGTTCCTTTTTGTCAGCATGAGCTTAATGGAAGACATACATTCTTCAAGAGGTTGATCCATTCCTCAGCAGAGGACATCAAGATTTCTGAAAGAGGGGTTATACGAGCAAGGCCTTCGAGTCGTCCATGTTTGATGTACAGGGGAAGAAGAGCTAAGGGAGCATATATGCATTTTCATGACTAGGGACATTATTATGTATGCAATATGCAGATTGTTCATACTAGGTGTGCAAAACTGAGCCTGCAACAATTATGAGATCGGTTGGGCTTTTATCATTCTTTGTACTATGATCTTAATAGTGGATTTTCTCTGGGCAAGGCCCCGCAGATGTAGTGTGACACCGAACTGCGTAACCAATGTGTTCGTGTTCTTGCGCATTTAGTGCTTGTTACAGCAACTAAAAGGATAACTATCAACCAGTCATGCACTTTCAACAAGTGTTTCTATATTTTGATCCGGATCAATCTCATAAGGATAATCTCTTAGCAGCTTGAAACTGTGCCAAATCTTCCAAAGTGAAGTCCTCAGCTGCCAACTTGCCTGCACCATTGCACCAATAGTTCCCACTTTCCACGATTAAGGCAAGCACGCAACACCGAACTAGGGGCCAAGACCACGTTACCGTCATTAATGGGAGGCTACTGAGTTGGCGGAGCAGGGACCGGTACCTTATATGGTTTAAGAAGGGAGACATAAAAAACATTGTGAAGCTTGCAATCGGATGGGAGGTCTAGCTGATTAGCCACTTCCGAACTGTGCTGGCTCATCATCATCATCAACCATACTCGGATCACCATAACAGACACCATTAATGCCACTAACTTTATAGAGTTCCGCAGTTTACATTCAATGATGAGATTGTTAATCAGACACATATGCAATTATTATTTTTCGTAGGGAATTTTTTATTGAAAATTCAAGTTTGGGTTGAATTTAACTTGCAATCCTTCACTGAATATTTTTTTATAAATATATTCCACCATACACAAATCTTTACCAGCACTTTGAAGTGATATAAAATTTATTCTACTATAATGGGATTAAAAGCACAAGGAAAACAAGTGTCGGCAAATATTCATCCATTAGCGACACTAATGGTCAACCCGTCCGGAAGCTTTTTTCTGGCATCCGCCTCGCCAGTTCATCCGACGATTCTGACTATCAGTAAAGCTTTTACCAGCGGGTTTTCCCTTTTACCGACGCTTATAAACGCCGGTAAAAAAATGAATTACACTATAGTACTTACTGACAAATATGTAAGACTAATAAGCCGACGAAGGAATGTCGTCAATGGCATACATATCTATTTCCTGCACTCGCCAGGATGCTTGTGATCACAATGCTCACATAATGCCTAACTAAGAGCTCTCGATGAACCTCCAAAATTAACCATGGAGCTATTCTACTTCCTGGACTGACTAGATCGAGAACCATGTCGAACACTGCCATTGAATCTAGAATACCCTGACTGTACTGAAGAATCCACTATCCAAATCGACCAAGTTAACGTCTACCACTCGATACAGTTCAGCTGTAGATTCCTTGACAACCTTGGTCTTCATGATCATCATAATTCATATCCAAAATCCTTTGCTCCAAAATTAACCATGGAGCTATTCTACTTCCTGGACTGACTAGATCGAGAACCACGTCGAACACTGCCATTGAATCTAGAATACCCTGACTGTACTGAAGAATCCACTATCCAAATCGACCAAGTTAACGTCTACCACTCGATACAGTTCAGCTGTAGATTCCTTGACAACCTTGGTCTTCATGATCATCATAATTCATATCCAAAATCCTTTGCTCCAAAATTAACCATGGAGCTATTCTACTTCCTGGACTGACTAGATCGAGAACCACGTCGAACACTGCCATTGAATCTAGAATACCCTGACTGTACTGAAGAATCCACTATCCAAATCGACCAAGTTAACGTCTACCACTCGATACAGTTCAGCTGTAGATTCCTTGACAACCTTGGTCTTCATGATCATCATAATTCATATCCAAAATCCTTTGCTCCAAAATTAACCATGGAGCTATTCTACTTCCTGGACTGACTAGATCGAGAACCACGTCGAACACTGCCATTGAATCTAGAATACCCTGACTGTACTGAAGAATCCACTATCCAATCGACCAAGTTAACGTCTACCACTCGATACAGTTCAGCTGTAGATTCCTTGACAACCTTGGTCTTCATGATCATCATAATTCATATCCAAATCCTTTGCTCCAAAATTAACCATGGAGCTATTCTACTTCCTGGACTGACTAGATCGAGAACCACGTCGAACACTGCCATTGAATCTAGAATACCTGACTGTACTGAAGAATCCACTATCCAAATCGACCAAGTTAACGTCTACCACTCGATACAGTTCAGCTGTAGATTCCTTGACAACCTTGGTCTTC